AAGTTTTTGCTCTGTCCAGACTCACCATGTTTTTTCTTGAGGAAAAAAAACAAAACTTTTAAGTAAGTTACAGGTTTGTATGACACGATAATTTTTTTGTCTAATGGATGGAGAAGCCAACTTTGTCCCCATCGTGTACAAACAGAAGAATGCTTCTTTGAATCTTCTCGACTGAAATTATTTGACATAAACATCAGATATGATCATAATTGGATTGCTTTTGTCAGACTTCTGATTGTGCAAACACAGTGCTGAGTCAATTCAGAGTCATGGCCCCAGCCCTTCAGAACCCAGGAAAGCTCCTGGAGGAGTCTGCGGTCCCAGCCGAATTTCAGGGAGGAACCAAAGAACAGGAGGGGAGGCAACTGGCCAAAATTGCCAAGAGGTCCTCCCTCACTCTCTTTGCAAATTAGCCCTTAGCAACTGCTCTCGATCCTGCCAGTGGTTAAACTAATATTGTGAGTCACGAATTAAAGGTGATGTCTAGAGATATGTAAAAATAGAATCTATAATTGGGAGGGCGGGGGAGCTGCCACTCAGAAGGTGAGAGCTGGTCTTGAAGAAGCTCAGGAATGGCATTAAACATATCAAGGATAAGTACCAAGTGTCTGACCACAAGAGGGGGAGGAAAACATAACAGGCTATTGCTGGGCAGGGCTGGGTGGGGGACTGGATGTGGCGATCAAGTAATCCTCAAAATGAATACAGGCAATATACCACTTTCTAAAAGTGCCACTATAGTTTTAAGTAGTAAGAGAAGCCAGGCACGTGAGGATTTCCCTGTAATCCCCATCCTGAGCTTGGCCTTCACAAGGCACCAATGTGAGTAAGGCACCATGTTCTGTTTGCACAACCAAACTGAGCATGAAGCCGAGACACAGAATAGCAGTGAAAATTATCAAGCCCTTGCAAAACAAGAGCTATGAAGAATGGTTTAAGTAGGTGGGATTATTTACCACTGAAATAAAAACACCAGGGGGATGACTTCACTGCGGTTTTCAAATACACGGAAGGTAACCAGCTGTTCTTTTTCCACAATGTGCAGAACAAAAGAAGGCTGGTTTGAATTTCTGTAAGACGTAGAAAGAACTATCTGATCAGCAGGGTAGGTTACTGAATTTCCCTCCCTGAAAATCCAGAATCCCGTCTATAGCCATATGTCTGAAATAATTCAGGCTCAGCCCCGGCTGACACCAGCGGGGGGGAAGACATGCTAGATAATCCAAACTCTCTCCCAGCTCCAAAACTCTGAAATTGGAATCCAAGCTATTGGTTTACAGTCAGACTTCCTTTTGTTTATTTCCACCCTGAGCCTGGAAAGGAGGTGACATAGAAAGGATGACCCAACACCCCACGAGGACTCCTAACTGATCTCTCAGTATCAGGAAAAGCTTTTCTCCGTATACTGTTTCACATCTCCAAAACAGAGTCAATTCACAGATCATTTCAAACAAAAGACAATGCAAGTGGCCTGGCTCTAGTGGACACTCGGGGATTCCTTGCCCCATTCCCTACAATCCCTGCTTTTCTCATTAAGTCTTGGCTGAAGCTCATTGCACATCATTTAAAAAATTATTAAGCCAAGAACTAAAACTATAAATATGTCCTGTAGGTTGCGCAGTTTAAATGAATATTGTTCCAAGTGTTATGTTTTTTAAATTGGAGAACATAAATCTGATTTTTTTTGTTTTTTAAAGTTTTATTTTTTAAGTAATCTCTATACCCAACGTGGGGCTTGAACTTATAACCCCAAGATCAAGAGTCACACACTCTACCAACTGAGCTAGTCAGACGCGCCTTATGAATCTGATTTTGAAATTAGTAACTGGCTTGCCTTTCTCTTAAGGCACCACGAAGAGTAAATTTTATTTCAGTGGTAAATAATCCCACCTACTTAAACCATTCTTCATAGCTCTTGTTTTGCAAGGGCTTGATTTCTTAGCTTTTTTTCTTCCTTTGTTTCTATGTATATTATCAATATACATTCACAATCATATCAGACTTCTTTGGGGGAGCAAGGTGGGGAAAAAGCAATCTAGCCACCAGCTGCATTTAGCAAGATCATTTTCTGGTGATACCAGACATCTGTAATTACCATGAATGCTTTTCATTTCAAATCTTACAAGGCGAAAGTGGCAAACTGGCAGCCAGTGGGCCAAATCAGGCCCACTCATGTGTTCTGTTGAGCCTGAATTGAAAAAAAAAATTAATTGCCAATACTTCAAAAAATTATAATTTTTCATATAAAAATTCAGATTCTCGGGGTGCCTGGGTGGTTCAGTTGGGTTAAGCGTCCGACTCTTGATATCAGCTCAGGTCTTGATCTCAGGATCATGAGTTCAAGTCCCACATTGGGCTCCACGTTGGGCATGGAGCCTACTTAAAAAAAAAAAAAAATCCATACTCTAAGCTTCTCTTGAAAAATGGAAAAATCAGTAAACACTACATGTCCACAACTGACTGGAAGAGCTGCCTTCCTACAGGTGGGACAGGAAGCACTTCAGTTTGCCACAGTCCCCACCAGGCCCTATGGTCTCTCTGACACAGAGAAGGCAGGCGGTTGCCATTTATCACCACACCTTATTTATCATTACTCCTGGCCTGTTGCACTGGCACCCCCTGCAGACATCTGCTATAAGAACAGCAGTCTTCACAAAAAACAGAAAAGGCTAATAACCTTCACATTGGTATTGTCCACCTCTCTCCAATAAGGACACGAAGAATAATTCTCCCCTAAAAGAGCCAAATTAGTGCTGAAGCTATTGGGGATCGTGGGGTTTTCTTTAAGAGGAGGGTGTATCATTTCTTAGCTTTTTTCTTCCTTTGTTTCTTTTAGAGGATGCTCAATTCTGAAAAAAGGGCAAGTTCTGAAAATCATGTAACTCCACATTTTTGGAGGGACAGTCTTCTTGTTTATCTGTGCGTAAGTCAGGGAACCTGAGATGAGGGGTTGGTTTAAAAAAAAAGAAAGAAAGAAAAAGACATTTGCAGCAATGAAGTAGCAAGACCGAACTCTGATATACAAACATACATGAACTTCAACTACTACACATTGATTCCAATGATGTCATAGCTGCTAAAGACATTTTTTTGAACTTGTGCTCTGGGACTGTCTTCAGTTATTACTAATGTGTCAACCAAAGCCTGTCTCATGACTTTAAGGCCCCATCTCATTTTTGGCTCAAAATGCTATTACCTAGCTGGTCACCCAACCCTGGGCCTGGACCTCAATGACTTCCGATTCTTTCTGGAGACCAATGTGCCTCAAAGGCCCAGGATTTGGACCTCTGGAGGACACTCTACCCCCCATTGTGTGGCTGGGCTGGGTCTGTCCAGGTGGTTCTTGTTGCCTGGAGCCAACCTCTGGTAGAAAAGCACACCTTTACCTGGGGTTCCAGCTCCCTGATCCCTCCCCCTCTGCAAAGCTGACTATGTCCGATGCTAAGTCCTTTCTGTAGGGTACTGGTGAGTTAAGATGAACGACTAGCTCCCTACCTTCAACTCCCTTTCAAGACTTGCTTACCTGGTTCCTTGCACCTACCTCCGGTCTCCGGCCCAGAGGACACCAACTGTCTTAGCCACACAATCCTCTCATTCTCAGGATCACGGCTTTTCATGGAGACCATCCCTATATTCTAATTCTTGTAGCCCCAATTTCTAAAAGCCTGTGATTTGGCAGAACTTTTATCTGAATTCTGTCTTATCATTTCCCTTATCTGGGACAATGTCAGTCAAAGAATGCAGCTCTGCTTAAAACAGATGTTTTGCCTTAATCTGCAAGGCAACTGTTCTCATTCCCAGCACAAGATGGAGACGGAAGAAGAGAAGAAGGAGGAGGAGGGGGAGGGGAGGGGAGGGGGAGGGGGAGGGGAAGGGGAAGGAGAGAAACTAATAAGACAAAACCACGAAGTTGGGACACCTCACCTTTGCCTGACTTAGGCATTCATACCATGGTTTTGCTACTTGGTATGTTAGAATCTGATTGTGTTGAACATAAGAAACATTAGTACTTAAAAACAGGTATCCAAACCCTAAATCCAAACTAAAACTTGACCTGATTTTTGGTCTAGCACATTTTTTCCCTTGCATTTTCATAAGAAGTAAGTTCATTTAGCAACCTCTCTGCCCACACTCATGGAGCTCAGCCAATGCTCCCCCCACCCCCCAGTCCTCCATGCTATGCCGGGGCTCGCTTTCTCACAGATGCCTCATCTTATGTGCAAAGCCGAATATCCTAAAAGTAGCTCCTAGTGGTTCCTTTGGAGCATGCACCATTTCTTGGCCTCAATCTCTCCGATAATGCTCCAAACGAATTTTAATGTTAGTAAGTTTGGACTGACCAATCTCCATTGCAGAACTTATCCTGATGGCGGAATGGCAGGACAGTCACATGGGGGCAGAAGCTCTGCACGTGTCCCAGATTCCACAGTAACATGGAACATCTCTTCTCCAACAAGATGCCTGGTTTCATGGGGGAGACAGTTCTGCCGCTCACTTGTCTCCCCTTCAGAGCAGCTGCAGGAAACTCGATGCCGGAGAACAGACAAGCACGTTCTTCTCCCAAGAAGCCGTCAGCTGCCTTTCCAGAACATGGAGCGTGGCATTTGCGTCAAAAATACACACACATCTCTTCTTTCTAGCAAGGCTGCAAGCCTTCCCTTCCCCACCTGCCAAGCATGTGCTTGGATGGAAAAGTCATGCCCCATTCCACCTCCCACCCCCTCCTTGAGATGTTCCTTAGTATCTCCCTTGATATTGGTCCTATCTGCTAAAGGAATAAAACCCAGGGTCCCCTGTGTGAGTGCTGAGTAAAAGCAGGGTGCCCAAATCCAAAAGCACCCATGAAAAAGGTGGAGAAGGATGCTCACAACCCCTCAAGGACATGGGGAGAAGGGTTTCCACAGGGAAGACCAAGGCATCATTACCCACACACCTAATAGACCAATAGGATTTGAACAACTGTTTTCCCTTTTGGAAACAGAAAATTTGTAGAAACATCATTCACAGAAACAAAATATTCACTTTTCCTTCTTAAAGCAAATTCTTTCTCCCTAAGCTCTTAATAGCTATTTTTGGTAGGAGAGAGCACAAGAGACAAATCTTAAACTGGGTAAGTACAACAGAAACACACAGTGAAACATGATTCACAGGCTGGGTTGTTGGGGGGTAGGGTGTGGGGGGGGAGTATACTTTAAGATTCAAGAATTCAATGACTTCAGGTCTCCTTTCTTCTTCAGATGCTATTAGAAGAGCACACTCATCTTTGTGACAGTTCCCTCCTTCTCACCTTCTTAAAATGAGACTTATCATTAGTCGAAAGCAGTTCAGCAAAGTAAGCAGCCGCCACCTGCATACACGGCCATATTTCAGTCGATCCTGGTCCCTAATATTCTGGACACAGCTTTAGATCAGAAGCCCACTGGAGCATGAACTCCAGCTTCCAGTAAGACAGCCCAGTTGGGTATTCGTCTTTTAAAAATAAACTTCCAGGCAGCAACATCTGAGATACTGCACAGTAAATGGAACCCAGGGAAACTTGGCAGGCAGATCTGGCCCCCACATGATGCCTACCCAGACCGAGAAGTGGTCCTGTGCTCTGAGTTTTGGTGCTTTCTGCACAATGACCAACCTATGTCAGAAAAAACTCAGTTTGGTCAGCCTGACCCCGCAGCCCCCACCTCAGGCAGCCAAAGTACCCCTAATACATAAAGACTCATTTTATGAAAGGTGGTCATATACTCAGTTCCCTTCTGGACCTTTGACTCAGAGCTTTTCTGACGTCCATAGCACTGTAAATTCTACACCAAAACCAGACAAGAACATCATCCGTAACAACATGGATTCCAGATAGACTGGCACTTAATTTCTGTGGCTAGAATGGTACTAAAAGTGCTTCTCCCACAAAGCATTTCAAATCAAAGTAGCCAACAGCAAACAGGCAAAGTTTGCAGAGATAAATAAAATCTGAGTGATCAGTGCAGGTATGTTCCTGTTTCTCTGTGCATGTTTCCTCCCTACCTCCCAGAACTGGCTCTAATCCGAGGTCTGACCTAACAGGACAAGCTGCTGTCGGACCTTATGGATATGCCTTTCAGACATAGCCATATGATTTTAGAAAACTGGAGACTTTGCCAAGATAGCAGGTAGAGGGATGGGGCAAGGAGAGCAAGTACTGGCCCAAATTTCACTCCAAGTATCCTTGTCGAAGACCTCAGCTCCAAGTGGACTGCACAACCAGAGAGAAGAGCTGGGGGACCAGCGAGAGGCAGCAGCTAAAGTGGCAATGCTTAGACTCTTCTTCCGTTTTGTTACAAAGGGGCGACCACGTGGAGTTCACCAGTGTAGCTGCAGCAACCAGGTTCTGCTTTGCATGCCCCAGAGGCGAGGAGCTTGGAAGGGAAGGCAGGAGGATCCTCCTCACCTAAGGAAAGAAGACAGGGCAAAGCCACACATCATTGTACTTCACCTGGCCGGGGGCTCAGGCCAGAATGTGGCTGAATCTGGGTTTGGACCATGGGCTTTATGAGTGAGGCAAGCCCCCCAACCAACTCAAATCAGGGCAGTCTCATCCTGCTGACAGGTTCCCTTAGTTGAAGGTCAAAGCTTTGCATGCATGACTCCAGGTAGGCACAGGCACTGTAAGGAACAGCTCCCGATGGCATCCTGCTGGTGCTCCCCGGGGGAGGCCGAGCTCTCCAGAGGGCCCTCTCACCTGGCCTTGTGCTGAGTGAACTGTGATGGAGAGAACACTGTGCCCGTCAACCCCAGGATCATTAAAAGATGTGGCTTTTAAAGCATTGGCATTGGTAAGGGGTGGCAAACACTACAAATCCCAACAAAGATACAGGTCCACGGAAGCTCATCCCATACCTCTGGGGCAAGCTCTGTCTTGGTAGCCAGAGTTCAGGCGCCAGGCAGCTCACCCTAACTTAGCCTCAGTATTCCTACAGCTCACACATGTGAACATCCCCATTGCCTAGAATAAATTGATACTATCAATGGAGTCTTGGCACTCCCCATAAGCTTTATTGCCAATGAGTCTGCACCCAAATTAGAAAAACACTTGCATGGATTTGGGAATTAGGGACGAAGGCTGTGGCCTGTATCCGGAACCCAACCCAAAGGCACTGTCGGCTCCCACGCGCCTTACCCAGGCCGGAGGAGGACGACACGCTCTCTGTCAGCGAAGATGTTTCCGTCTGCTCCGCCGAGAGTCCTTCCATTAGGGGCAGGGACAGCTCCGAGGACGGCACTGACGAGTCGTAGATGCCCGAGTCCCGAGGCATGTCTGAGGGGCTGGCGGCTTTCCCGGGGTGCGGCAGCGGCCGCAGGACCGAGCCGCCCCCCGGCCCGGGCCCCGCCTCCGCGTCTTGGGCCAGGCCCAAGTGCGGGCCCTCCGAGGGCGAGTCGGCCAGCGCCCCGGGGACCGCGGCCTCAGCCTTGAGGCAGAAATCACCGTCAGGCCCTGGTTTGCACATGACATCATTTAACACCAAGCCCGAGTCAAACTTCTCCAGCACCGGCTCCCGGGAGTGGAGGTGGGGGGGACGGAGGGGGACGAACTGCTTCTCAAACCAGTCGGGCTCCTCGTCGATAAACTGGTGCATGTTGCATATGGCGACGTAAAGGGACCGGCCGGACTTGCTGCGAAAGTAGTTCCTTCTGCTCACCTGTCCGGGGTACTGCCCCGGCTCCGGAAGGCCGTGGTCTCGGGAGTGCAGGTGGGAACAGAGCTGGGGAAGGTTGTCCATGAGCTTGTACTTGGTGCTCAGGTCCAGGATGCCGGGAACATCGCCCTCGCAGGAATAATCGAAGTAAACGGCGATGAACTTGCTGAGCTGGGCTGAGGAGCTCTGCTTGGCCTGGCGGAGCTTTTCAGCTATGGCGGACATGGCCACCAGGAAGAGCTCCCCTTTCCCCGAGCCCCGGCCGCCGCCCTTGTGCTTGCAGCTCTTCTTGTCCACAAAGTACTTCATGCCTTTGGAACACACCACGATGATGAACTGGGACTCGTGGATCTTCTGGATGACCCATTCTCTCTGCCCTTCTCTGCAGAGGCTGAAGTCCTCCCACAGGTCCAGAGCCACCTGGAAAGAGAACACAGACCTCATTCACCTATACAGCCTGGGGAGTCGGGTAACAAAAACAAGAGGGTTACAAGAAGGTCCCATCATTTGTCCTTTAAGTATTATCAGCATTGCTGCGTGCAGGCTCTGGGATGCTGGGATCTGGGACCAGCTAACATTCTGTGGGTGATAGTCACATGCCAGGCCCTCCGCATTGTGTTGTGCCCTTGTTTCAGCCTAGTGTGGGGGTCATTCCTGCTCTCACCGTATGAGGGGAAAAGATGGACACACAGAGCTTTTAGCAACCTGCCAAAGTCGCATATCCCAAGTGAGGCCCTCAAGGGACTTTTGAGTGTGCTAGTGAGCCCCTTGAATGGGCGCCCTGAGGTCGGTCTATGGTGGTAAGTGCAGCAGATCCTGAAGACAAAGCTGGAAGGTGATGATGGATGGGCCTGGGTGAGGGACCCCAAAGCAGGCAGAAAATGGGGCTGAGATCTGGATGTCAGAATTGCCCATGATGCTGGCTGACTCACATCCAGACAGCGGGATGGACAAAGAAGACCCCCTTGGCCACTCTCACAGCCCCAGGGTCAACTATGCTGTTTACCAGTCTGTCAATGGCCAGAGAGGAGGGTGGTAGACTGCAGTAACACAGCCACTCTGGTTAGCTCACCTGTGAGTGACTGGCACCTCCCACCATGACTTCATAGCAATCTATGGGGGTCATATCCATATAAGACCTTTAACCCCAAAGAGGTTCCAGGAGCTGGGGGAGGGGCACCAACAAAGGAAAGAAAACCAGGCATGCATGTGCCCCTCAGAGGGCTTCACCTTCTCAGATCATTTTCATCTGATTCTGCTGAAAACGTCTCTTGGCAGTTTTATCAGCCTCTTTCCTTCTGCAGTTCAGAAACGAATTCTCAGTGGCTACACCTGAATGGGAGCCACAGTCTCTTACGGAAAAGGGGGTTCTGAAATAACTTTGTCTTCCTCTTTGGCTCTAAAGAAGGTCCCCTAGATCCACCCACTTGCTAAAAACAATCCTGAATTGTCTTATACTCCCTTAATCCTCACTAGCATTATACATTCTAAAGGCTAACTGGGAGTATATACCAAACATTTTAAAAATGTTCCTATCTTTGACCCAGCAATTCCATTTCCAGGCTTCTAGCTCTGGAAAATCATCAGAAATGAGGCAAAATTGAACTAATTGAAATAACTCAATTAGAATGAATTGGTATTATGGATCATGTGGTTATTTAAAATTGCATGGTGCAGCCACTCTGGAAAAGAGTAAGGAGGTTCCTCAAAAAGTTAAAAATAGAACTACCCTACGATCCAGCAATTGAACTACTAGGTACTTACCCAAAGAATACAAAAATACTAATTTAAAGGCTGATGTTTATAGCAGCATTATCGACAATAGCCAAATTATGGGAAGAGCCCAAATGTCCATCGACTGATGAATGGATGAAGATGCAGTGTGTATATAAATACAATGGAATATTATTCAGCTATAAAAAAGACTGAAATCTTGCCACTTGCAATGACATAGATGGAGCTAGAGAGTATTATGCTAAGCAAAATAAGTCAGTCAGAGAAAGACAAACACCATGTGATTTCACTCCTATTTGGAATTTAAGAAACAAAAATGATCCTAAGGGGTAACAAGGGAGAGGCAAACCAAGAAACAGATTCTTAACTCTAGAGAACAAACTGATGGCTACCAGAGGGAAGGTGGATGCAGGGAAGGGGTGAAATACGGGATGGGGCTGAGGATTAAAGGAGTGCACTCGTTGTGATGAGCATTGGGTGTTGTATGGACGTGGTAAATCACTATATTGTACACCTGAAACTCATATTACACTGTATGTTAACTGACAGGTTTTAAATACAAACTTTAAAAAATAAAATTGCAGTTTACATAGAACTTTCAATAGTATAAAAAGTTATTAAATGAAAAGACAGAAAAAACATCCTAATCCACCCCAAATGCAAAACTGTATGCATGAGTTCATCTATGTAGAAAAGAACTGGGAAGGAAATATACCAAATACTAACTGTGGTTCCTCTTTCTCCAGGGTAAGATTACAGGCCATTTTTGGAGTCACCTTTTTCAGTTTCAAAAATTTCTACAGTAAGTACTATACCCATAAGTGGAAGACATTTTCCCCCTGAGGCTAGTTAGTTACAAAGCAGAGCACATGGGTCGTCTGAAGACTGTGGCACCAGCTAGAGGTTGCAGTTGGTTTTTCAGTACCCATTTGGATCTGCCTATCTCCCCAGCTTCATGTGTCAGCCTTGTAATTAGGTGTTATGGACACTAGGGGGCAGCCTTGCCACGTGGAGAGACTAAGAAACCTACCAGCAGCAGTATCAAACAAAGCCCAAATAACTTTCATAACACAGTTATTGTACAGTTCTTGCATTGCTAAGAAACAGAGTATGCCTTCCATGAGAGCTTCAAACTTCCCTCTAAAATTAGCACTATGACATTATAGAAAAGCTACATATTCATAGCTTAACTCAGGAAAACAGACAAGAAACCGGAGCCGACCATTTGAGTCCTTGACTATTGTTCTCCCTTCTTAGCAAAACTCCTCCAAAGTATTGTCTAAACCCACTGCTTGATCTTCCATCCTCTCTTTGACCTGTCAAGGCTCACCACGATGTCTTGAGTGACCAACCTCCCCCGCTCCTATTCCATGTTCCCAGGATACATGCCATTCCCCTCCATGCAACTACACGGTCTTCTTGATGTTTATCAAACTTCCTGCCAGGTAGGTGCCACGAAAGGCTTTTGAGCTTGAGTATGTCAGGTTAGGACTAAGGGTTAGGAAACATTTAGTGCTGGTGATGGGCAGGACACACTGAAGGAGGAGCGTGAGGCTGACCCCAATTTGGAAGGGAGCTAGGCACCGGAGGAGGGCAGGTGTCACCCAAGGAGGCCTGGAGGGAGGGAGAGAGCGCTGAGAGCATGGGGGCACATGTCCTGCCCAGGGAGAAAGAAGAGACTTCAGATCTCTCACCTCACAGCCACAGAAGTCCTGGAGGAAGTAGGCAAAACACCGGACAACGTTCATGTGATTCTGGCCATCTTTGCTGGAATAGCAGAGGAAGACCTTTGGCCTCGGCCGGAGCCTCTCCCTGGGGAGCGCCGTGGTGTACGAGGAGGACTCAGAACTCTCTTCATCTAAATGTGAATATATATTTTCTAAATTGGAAAAGAAGATAGGGTTGATGCCTACGAGCAATGCTGCGCCTTGTCCTGCGCCTTAAGACTCGGGACCTAAGGCCATCTTCAAGAAGCAACAGTTGATACTCCCAGTCCCCAGCCCCTGGGGTCCCCACTGGAAACAGGACAGCTGATTTCTCCAGTGGAGCAACAAATACCTCGGGTAAGCCGAGAAAACTGCCGGGACCACCCTGGTCAGCAGAGAGCACCCAGAAGCAGGTCTTGCAACCAAGTGTACCTACCAGACCAATTAAGCACTGACAGAGCTCACCTTCTTTAAAAGAAAAAAAAAAGACAAAAAACAAAAGAAAACCCTTTTATTGAGGTATAACTTACAAAGGTAAAACGCATAAGTCTTAAGAGTAATCTCAGTAAGCTTTTATCTAAGTACATACCTGTGTAACCATTACTCAGATCAAGATAGAAAACATTTCCAAGGTCCCCAAAAAGTTCCCTCCCAACACCTGCCTTTTATAAGTCATTAAGCCCTGCCTCTACCCTTACTCATACTCTTAGACTTCATTTATGTTCTTGAATTTACTATCCTGAGTTTGGGAACAGAATTATGGCTTCACGTTCACAGCTCCTGAGGCTAAAAGTCAAGTATCTTAATGGTAGGAACTACAGGACCTATGTGGCCTCCCAGATGCCCATTTGGTTGGGGGCCAGGGTAGGGCGGTGGTACCAAGGGCCCAAGGACTCCCAGGCTCCCTCTGTTGGCCGATGTCTTGCCAACCTGGGGGGCACACACCACACAAAGAGATACCTTGTTGTTTCTTGCGGCACATCACGGTGAAGAGGGTCGCAAATGCCGAGATGACAACCAGTGGCACAGTGATGGCGATAGCCCTAATGGGCCCCGCCCACGGGGAATGCGCTGGGAAATGTCAAAGACAAGGCTTGAAACAAGAAGCACAAGTTCAAGGAGAATTCTTTTTCTCCCCCCCCCCTTTTTTTTGTTTTTAAAGATTTTTTATTTTTAAGTAATCTCTACACCCAGTGTGGGGCTTGAACTCACAACTCCAAGGTCAAGAGTCCCACACTCTACCGACTGAGCCAGCCAGGTGCCCCTCTTTTCCTCTCTTTAAACATAAGCTGTGTAACAGGTTCTGGGAGCCCTGACCACATTTCTCTAGTTAGTACTGGTCTGGTGATTATAAAAGGACTCTTTTTAAAGGGTTGTAGAATACTATTCAAAAATTAGAGTTGCTGGGACAGTAAATACTTGTGAGTGAGAATTTTGCCCTAGGAAACCTTGCCTCCCACCACTTTTCTTCCAAGGACAAGTGACTATTTAGTCCCAGCTACACACAGACACACACCAACCACAGTGGCCTCTGTCTTCTAGGCATCGACATCAGGATGGAAGGAAAGTCAGCTTTGATGGAACATCTTTTTTTTAGAAGACTGAGGTGGGGGGGGCGGTGCGCAGAGGGAGAGAGACAGGGAGAATCTTAAGCAGACTCCCTGTGCTCAGCATGAAACCCAACACAGGGCTCAATCTCACAACACTGAGATCATGACTGGAGCCAAAGTCAAGAGTCAGACGCTCAACCGACTAAGCCACCCAGGCACCCCTGATGGAACATCTTTTAAAAGAGAGGAACTCAAATGCTGTGTTTTGATTTTGTCAACCATGAAGTACAGAATGTACCAAGTAACGTGGTCTGCTGTAGTCCAGAGCCAACATTTCACACAGAAAAAAAAAAAATCATACCTGGTTTTAAGGCATAATGCATCACTTTTCTTGTTGTATTAGTGTCATCCACCAGCTGCAAAACAGAGGATGCTGTATCATTATTTTTTTTTAAGTGGTAACATCTCAACAGATTTCATTCATTTTTCTATCTGTGGACAGTGGGGGGCAGGAGAAAGGAGAGCTGCTGCCTATGATCATTCATGAGCTGAGACCTGACATTAAATCAGATAAATCTCTGCTTTACCAACACAAAACTCTCAACCTCATCACCTTCCATGAATCAAACGTTGTTCATTCATTGATGAATTCAGCTGGTGAGTTCCACATTCTAACACTCTTCCGTTACAATGGCATCCTACCACTAATTTTACTGGGCTGCCATTAATGCTTTCAGAGCGTGTGTCTGTTCAAAACCACATACTGCTATCAAATCATACAACCAGTGTTTCTCCCAAAATGTTGACACGTTGATTGTCTCTGAATAGCAGGGCTATGGACAAAATTTTTTAGTTCCTTTTCAATTTTTCTTTTATCCCTATTTTTGTAGTGTGTTTGATACTGGAAAAGGAATCTAAACTAAAAGAAGAAAAATATTATCATTTGCTTGCTTTTTTCAGTGGTATTTAGAACTTCATGTACACTGCTACAGAAAATGTCAGCAGAAACCTAGAGAAGTATAGGCAGATATAATGGGCAGAACTTTTCCTTTCTGTTTTACTAAAAGATTTAGGGACACCTGGGTGGCTCAGTCAGTTAAGTGTCTGCCTTCGGCTCAGGTCATGATCCCAGGGTTCTGGGATCGAGTCCTGAGTTGGGCTCCTTGCTCAGTGGGGAGCCTGAATCTCCCTCAGAATGCCTCTCTCTCTCTGACAAATAAATAAGTAAAATCTTTTAAAAAATAAAAATTTATAAATCTAAGTTTTTTAAAAACATATTTTTGTAGTACGACAGTGTAGGAGCCCAGGGCAGGTTGCCCCAGTAGGTACCACGATGGCCTACTGATAAATATTTTGTAATGAAGCTACTGGAGAAAGAAGTAGTGCAAGGATACTCAGACCCTCCCTCTGTCCCCCTGAAAGCAGGAAATAGATCTCCCATATGACAAATACCCTCACTGTTCTGAGAAGTAAAAATGACATCCTTATTGTATGAGATAGGGACTTTAAAGTCGAGAAAACTGTAGAAACGAACCTTGTTACTTTTTCTAATTTATTATCTCAGCCTAAATTCCACTTAGAATTCCCTACTAATTAAAGCTCCCAAACATCTATTTTTCTTTATCCTGTCAATTCTTCACAAATTTATTATCTCTTTGTCCAAAAAGCCTAAGAACTGTGCCTGCCTTTGTCATTTCTTTGGGTTTCAATTTCATTATTGGGCCTCTGTGCACACTCAGTAAGAATCTGGTTTTTTTCACCCCTTAATCTGTCTCACGTCAATTTAATTCCTAAACCAGCTGGAAGAACCCAGGGAGGAAATAAGGAATTTCTTCCTCCCCTACAAAGGAATACTGTATAGAAATTCTAAATCGTGGCTATGTGGACTATCTGGTTTCATAAAAATATTTATATGAAATACTTGAAATACTGAATGAGAAAAATCAAAGACTAATTACATATAAACTTTTTAAAAAGCATGTTAAGGGCCATGTAAAAATATAACTGCACACCCTCAATGGCTTGAAATTTTAGTGTTGTAAACAGTTGAAATTCTTCATGAACTAGATTCATTCTGTAGAATTAATAATAGGGCTTTCTTGAGTTACACATACCTCAATTATATAATCCCCAGGAGAAACATTTTGAAGGAGGCAGCTGGTTGTCTCTGTATTTTGCTCCTGCAAAGAACCAACACAACACTTTTAAAACTCACTTCTTGGATAAGGGTCATCTGGACCTCTCTTTTCCCCCAAAGCTGAAGGAGACTTGCCACCAGTCTTGACCATGTTCAGAATATATCGATTAGATCAGAAAGCAACCATATTTATCTGCTACACATGATCTGAACTTCCCTCTGATAAAAAGGCCCAGGAAAGCCCAGGACCCCCGTCATAGTCTATACTTACTTAGTGGTGCCCTCAGCAGGACTATTTCATTTGCAGACAAAGAAACTAGTTAGAATACCCTTTATTTATTGAAAGGGTGAGAAAAGAAATTACCTGCCCTTGTTTGTGCATATTTTATGTGCCGTAATTTTGACTTGAGGTCAATGACAGAGGTGAGAGCCTACAGGAAAGCAAAACTCAACAACATAGAAGCATGTCTAGGAAGATGCTAGGTTCTGCTCTCATGAGCAAAAACCTCTCTTGGTGCTTGCTGAGGCCATCTAGCTGGCAGTCCTGTGCACTTCCATAATTCCCCCTCTTGTTGACTGCCCTCAGTTTAAGAACTTGGTTGCTGAGTTTCTACTTTGGTCTATGTACAATCAGTAAGCCACTGAAATCCTAGTGGCTTAGCTCCTAGATGTGGTTTTTCCACTGACTAGCTGTGTGACCTTGAGCAAGCCAGGTGACCTCATGGAGCCTCGGGTCGCCCATCTGTAAAGTGGGGCGACAGCAGCCTCTGTTGCATAGAGTAATAAGGATTCAGTGAGCATCAAGCTTGGTGACCGGCACACAGTGAGCACCCAATTAATGTTTAAAATAGAGCAGAATGAACTAGAAATACTTAATTCTTTTGGTTCCTTGGTAATACCTTTCCCAGGCTTCATCACCCTTGGGATAGCTGGGGTGTAGATAACTGGAAAGTGAGAGTTGTCCCTGAGACACAACATTCTGGAATGTCTACCAACTGCTGAGATAAAGCCTCATGTTCACGTTGAACCTTCCAAATTCCGGGCCCAGGGGTCACTTTAAAACATGTCGTAGGGGCACCTGGGTGGCTCAGTCGGGTAAGCATCTGCCTTTGGCTTGCGTCATGATCTCGGGGTCCTGGGATGGAGCCCGCATCGGGCTCTCTGCTCAGTGGGTAGTCTGCTTCTCCCTCTCCCTCTGTGCTCTCTCTCTCAAAAAAAAAAATAAAATAAAATCTTTATTTTTTTTAAAAAAAGATTTTATTTATTTATTTGAGAGAAAGAATGACAGAGAGAGAGAGCATGAGACAGGGGAGGGTCAGAGGGAGAAGCAGACTCCCCACTGAGCGGGGAGTCTGATGCAGGACTCGATCCCGGGACTCCAGGATCATGACCTGAGCTGAAGGCAGTTGCTTAACCAACTGAGCCACCCAGGTACCCAGAAAAATAAAATTTTTAAAAAAACAAAACAAAACAAAAACATGTAGTATTCCTTAATGTACATACAGCAGCTCACCTGTTTACAGGTCTTTCTCTTGAAAGGCCCTTCATGCTTGAGCTTATAGTGAAGATAGAAGAAACGGAAGCCAAAGGTGTGTGGCGCATGATCGAAGGACACCTGCATGTCCAAACCGTGCTGAGTGATGTTCAGGTTCCGAGGCTTCCAGACTGGGAGGAGGAAGGACGCGGAATGAGCATCCAGAGGCCACCCTGACACCACCATGCGGGCAAGACCTGATGGACGGGAACAGCTACACTTACAGGGCTTACAGGCCAGGTTGTCCGGCTGTAGCAACAGGTCGCAGGCTATGAAGAAAGACACATATTTTTTACTTTTAGTACAGTTTGGCATTTTCCTCATCCAATAGTTCAATAAAATACAAATACATGGTGCTGGGTAGTGTTGGGAAAAGTATAAAATACATCAATTCAGCAATTCAGTATGGTGTAGTTATATCTTAAGAATATTTAAATTGGGGGCGCCTGGGTGGCTCAGTCAGCTAGGCGACTGCCTTCGGCTCAGGTCATGATCCTGGAGTCCCGGGGTCGGGTCCCGCATCGGGCTCCCTGCTCAGCAGGGAGTCTGCTTCTCCCTCTGACCCTCTTCCCTCTCGTGCTCTCTATCTCTCATTCTCTCTCTCTCAAATAAATAAATAAATAAATAAATAAATAAATAAATAAATAAATAAATCTAAAAAAAAAAAAAAAAATTTAAATTGTACAATATAAAAATATGAATGCAGTTCATTTTACACCAAGTAAATGGAAACAGTGTCAAGTCACCGAGACTCTTGAAGCTTGTCAAGCATGACAGAGGAGTTTCAAGGCCAGCAACCAAGGGCAGCAGGACTGTGTTCAGGCCGCTACCACAGGGAAGCTCTGGTTTAGCCGTGAACAGAAATAAAGCCAGTCCCTTATCCATTGTACAGGGGTTTAGGCCCAAGAGAACTCTGGAGTGATGCTGGTAACTGTCTTGGGATTGTTGTAACCTTTGCTAGCAAATGCTCTGATGGAGTCTAAAAATGGCATGGAGACATCTACTAAGTAATAGCACCAAAGCCAACAGGGCTTTGAAGCAGGGCTTAAACGTGATGCTAACACAATGAGGCCAAACAGCCAGTCCAGGATGCCATACTGCTCACCCAGGGGGAACCCTCTGGCAAATGTCCATCCCAATGCCAAGAAAAGCAAAGGCGGCATCAAGATCACAGGGCACCGGGGTGCCTGGGTGGCTCAGTCGTTAAGCGTCTGCCTTCAGCTTGGGTCATGATCCCAGGGTCCTGGGATCTAGCCCCACATCAGGCTTCCTGCTCCGCGGGAAGCCTGTTTCTCCCTCTCTCGCTCCCCCTGCTTGTGTTCCCTCTCTCGCTGTGTCCCTCTCTGTCAAATAAATAAATAAAATCTTTAAAAAAAAAAGATCACAGGGCACCGAAATGGTGATAATCGCATCTCCCGCCTCTGCCTCACCCCCAAATAGACACATTGATTCTGATGGGAAAAATTAAATTACACTAGTTCTGATGAAGCCAAGCTTTTCATAAACGTATTTGAATCCTCTAATTGGTTATGTGTCAGGCATTGAGATGTTGTAAAATGCACCTAGTCTTCGCCCTATGGAATCATATTTTAATTAAGAAAATGAGACCAACTGTTATAAAATAACTGCTGCACAGAAAATAAAGTTTAAAAAAAAAGTAAGAAGGGAAGGGAAGGAAGGGGAGGGGAGGGGAGGGAAGGGAAGGGAAGGGAAAAGGCAAAAAGAAAACAACCAGAGAATGAGTTCTGGAGTTGAGAAGAAAAACATCACAGGGGGGGAGGATGGCTATGAGGACATGGGAAGGGCTGTCACAGTGGACTGCCAGCTGACCCTCCGGGGCCTGGAAGGCCAGACAGAAAGCCCAACCAGGAAGGCAAGAGGGAACAGCTGCAGGTTTCAGGATGCCTGGGCACCAAATCTGAAAGCGGGGATTCAGGTTGAGGAAAAGACCCAGCACACCGCATGCAGAACAGATGGCAAAGGGAACTCAGCATAGTTGGCTGCAGAGTGTGGACTCCAGAGTCAGACTTCTGGGTTCAAATCCCAGCTCCCACCAGAGGCTCTTTACCCTCTGGGTGTGTAATTCCACATCTAATAAGTGGACATGGGAGGATTAAATTCTTTGAAGGGTTGGTATGCGGGTAAACTGAATCAGTATTTAGAAAGCATTTAGAACAGGGCCTGACACATAGATGTTAAACAAACTTTCTAGAAAGAGGCAATCTCAGAGTTACTGATTAACTGTCTTAATGTAATCCTGAAAACAGGCAATCACAGAAGCCACTTTCCTGATGACAGGTCAAAAAAGATGGAATTACTTCATGCTCTACCCGTCATCTCCAAAATCAACTTCTACTTTTTTAGTCCTGCTTTTTTCTTTTTCCAAATGGTTTTAATATATGGCTGTCTTACAGCAGCTGTACCCCTCCCCCACCCAAAATAAGCAGCATCATGTCTACTCTTGAACAAGTTGGCAACTGGTGTCTCTGGTTAGGTGAACTCTGCCTAGGCCAAATCTTAATTCTAAGAATTGCTTTTCTGGATACTTTTGTCCTCACCATGCTGGTTTCATACCAGTATTTGGTGGGCTCTTGAATATATTCCTTGGAAAAGTCATTAGGATCAGGAGCAGTCTCAACATGGGAACCAGGCAAGCAGGCCATACTCACCACGAGTTCTGAAGAAGAAAGGGTGGTAATTGCTTTCATTTTTAATGGAAGGAAAAGGGACAATCTTCACAAAGTAATCCGTTTCAAATTTCATATTCAGGAAAGGTTGAGATTCCATTCCCTAAAAGGGAATAAAAGCAGACACAATATCATGAAGAAATCACCCACCCCTCCACCTATACACCAGACCTTCAGGCCTCCCTGACGGTCACCCACACACTCTTCCAGACCTGGGGTCTATTTTCTGGACCACCTTTAACTGAAATAAAAGATCAGCAAGGCTGCCTGTTCTTTGGCAAGGAAGCCACGGCTGGTTAACACAGACCCTCAAAGCTGGTGGGGAAGAGCTCACATACTCTTGAGAGCACAAAGCCACCTTCCAGGACGTGTAACCCGAGAGGTGTGTTTACCAGCAAGAGGTGCTGGAGGGATTCTCTGGGTGTGGAGCAGGCTTGAGGTGTTGCCGAGCTATTTCTTACCCACCTTGGCAGGAGGGGTGGACCCCACAGCCCCTCCTTCTCCAGTTTCACCGACATTCAATAGACTATTCAGACCCCCAGAACAATGGCATGTCTTCAGGAGCACATTCTCTGCGTGCGACTTACGGTTCTTTTGAAGCTACTGTTGAGCTGCTTTGGGTCCTTTAGAATCAGTTGTTGGCACCGTCTTCCCTCCGACTTCAGCTCCTCCAGTATTACTCGAAATCCTTTTAGGAATTCGATGCCTAAACAAAGCAGAATGCTTTTATGAAAAGCAGACCGAATTACCTTTGAACACACTTTCCTTCCTTTGCCAAGATTACCGTCCTTCCCACCTACATAGCAGAGTTAAAGGAATTCTAACTTTGGCCAGAATATCTGAGTTTTACAGAAAGGAAAACCACATGCCCTGCATTCTTCTGGGACAGGCCAGGTGATTTTTCTCTGTCCCATCATGACTCGTTAATTAGCTCTAATTCAGCCAGCCATTTCACAAATGCCCACTGCCTCTGTGACATCAGGGTTCAAATATTTAGGCTCAAGTCACAATTCACCCTAAAAGTCTAGAGTGGAATATATTAATTTCTAGGTCATCAGACAGGGTGTATTCAGCTGATGATAATTCCCAATGCTGACCAGGAACTCCCCCCAAACCATGTTTCCGCTTTAAGTTTTCATCCTGTATTTGCTGGCATGGTTTACTGAGTCATGCACAAAATTCCCAACAAAGTGTATGTCTGCACCCAAGGGGTTCCTAGGCTTGAGATTAAATAGTTTAGAATGCCTATGTGATTTACAAAGCAGTTCTTGCTCTAATCAGGCCTGAAAGGCAGACACCCAAGGGTTGCCCAGCATGTGCTCTTCAAACAGCCCTCAGAGGCCCCGAGACGCCCACCGTGCTGCTGAAAGGCACCGGCCCAGCCTCCTGCCACCTGAGGAGTAAGCTCCGCTGATCACAAGAGCCAGTACCAGCGCTCTGCATCCCATGGAAACTAGCTAGAGTGGTCCAACTGCAGCTGGAGATCCCCAAAACCGGCCTCAATTGGCGCAGTATCGATTTTGCATGCTTTCTGAACGCTACACAAGGAGACAATTTCAACCCTTCACTCGCAGGGCAAAAGTAATGACACAGGATACAATTAACCAGGTGGGAAAAGTATTGATGGCACAGGACAGGTAAATCTTTTTTGAATCCTATCATTATTTGATGAAGAACATATATTTTCCAGTGAGTAGGGCAAAGGAGTTACAATGAGAGCTTCACATTTTCGGGGGTCACAGTGTACAATGTGCTGGTACTGACTCTGCCACATTGCATTTTTTTTTTTAAGATCTTTATTTATTTATTTGCCAGAGAGAGAGCACAAGCAGGGGGAGCACCAGAGGGAGAAGCAGGCTCTCCACCGAGCCGGGAGCCCAATGCGGGGCTCGATCCCAGCACCCTGGGATCATGACCTGAGCTGAAGGCAGACGCTCAACGGACTGAGCCACCCAGGTGCCCCCGACATTGCATTTCAAGTACAAAGCTTCCTGTGCGGGTGAGAGCCAGCTGACCCCCAGCCCAAGACTCAAACATGCTAACAAGATCCAAGGTCTTTGACCAGCGACCAGTTAGCAGATCTCACAGGAACTTGCCTTTTGAGATTAAAAAAAAAAAAAAGTTGAACAAATCCTTATTATTTATACTAAGATTTAATTCATGCCATGTCCCCAGAGCTCCTGTTTAACAAAAGCTGGGTGATTAATAGGATTCAAGACTGTGTATCTCACAGTTTCATAAAAATTCATCAGCTGAGGTGGGAGTGGGTGGTTCTAGTCCTCATTTTAAAAAGACCTGCCTGAAAAACCTATACCAAGTCTGGGTGGGGTCGGGGTAGAAGCAGCAAATGTAAATCTTTTTTTTTTTTTTAAGATTTTATTTATTTGACAGAGAGAGAGCGCAAGCAGGTGGAGCAGCAGAGGGAGAGGGAGAAGCAGGCTTCCCACCGAGCAGGGAACCCGATGTGGGGTTCGATCCCAGGACCCTGGGACCATGACCTGGGCCAAAGGCAGATGCTTAAGCAACAGAGCCACCCAGGTGCCCCAAGCAAATGTAAATCTTATAGTAACACCTTTATCACAATACCCTGAATGAATGCCTTATACTTGTGTAGCAACTTCATAGAGCAGCTTCCAGTGATGGAACTTATTTGCTCCTTTCCATCATTTAAAACTGGATGAATCCTCCTAACATCCATGGGAGGAAGGTATTATCCCCATTTTACAGATGAGGAAACAGCTATCAAGACACTGAACGACTTGCCCAGGATCACACAGGAATTAAACAGCAGATGTGGGATTCGAACCCCAGAGTGTCTGGCTCTAAGCTGGTGCTCTTAACCCATATGCTTCTCTGTCTCCCACCGAGTTTCCTTGATAAAACCTGAAAGAACCTTATAGAAACAGATAGAACCTGTCCACCCACAAATCATTGTGCAGGAAAAGCACCACGTTCTGCCCTCACTGCTCCACCTGTTAGTTCTCCAACCACATGCTCACATCCCTTACTTTTAAGGAGCCTGCAATTTGTCAGGCCAACCCCTCCACTGCATAGCCTTACATGGAATGACCACTTCCCGTTTATCCACAGAGAATGTTTTTATCTTTAAATGTTAAGATAATGTTATTTTTGGAAAACCCGCTGCGTTCAGACCCAGCGGTATTTACATAGATAAGTGAGTCAGTCCCATGGGTCTGATCTATCCTCCCTCACTCTGCACTCACCTCCCCTGCCGTCGGATTTTTCTGAGATTTATCCTGTTCAGATGAAGAAATCCAGGCTTTTATTGTACTTTTCCCTTGGCCAGATTTTTTTTTTTTTAATTCTAAGATTCAGTGGCTATGTCAAAGGAGCAGGTTTGAGGACCAGGTTCTGATGATCGTAACAGTAGCCACTTTTTTCCCCCCCGTTTTGTTTTTTTCTTAAAGATTTTATTTTAAAGTAATCTCTACACTCCATGTGGGGCTTGAACCTACAACCCCAAGATCAAGAGTCACATGCTCCACCGACTAGGCTATGCAGGTATCCCAGTAGCCACTGTTTTTTTAAGAGCTCTTTCTAGGGTCACCTGGCTGGCCCAGTCAGTGGAGCAGGCAACTCCTGATCTCAGGGTCATGAGTTCAAGTCCCACATTGGGTGTCAAGATTGCTTAAATAAAAACTTTTTTTAAAAAGAAAAAAGCTCTCTTTAGAAATATACTGCAATATGTGTGTGTCAGGAAATCTTATAACCAACCAAGAGGCAGTCATCTGCCCATTACAGATGGGGGAGTGGGGCTCAGCCAGGGTTAGAGGCCTCTTGTAAAAGGTAGAATCTGGGTTCACAGCCAGGCCCATCTGAACAAATGGACCCTGCCCATGTCCCACACCCAGTTAATCCCAACCAATCATTAACTTGACTCTGCCCTAACCTGAATCTGGCCAGATAATGTGGATTTGCTTCTTCCTGTTTCTTCATTTTGTTTTTTTGTCAGCCTACATAGTTTAAACAAATTCAGTTAGTTGTCAGCCTTTAAAAATTGATTTTATGGGGGCGCCTGGGTGGCTCAGTCGATTAAGCGTCTGCCTTCGGCTCAGGTCATGATCCCAGCCCTGAGCCCTGGGATCGAGCCCCGCATCCTGCTCCCTGCTCGGTGGGAAGCCTGCTTCTCCCTCTCCCACTCCCCCTGCTTGTATTCCCTCTCTCGCTGTTTCTCTCTCTGTCAAATAAATAAACAAAATCTAAAGAAAAAAAAAAAGAAGAAAAAGAAAATTGGAATATTCCTGAAAACTTACAACATGTGCCAGTGCTGTGCTTGGGTATCCATATGGGCACAGAGATGGCCGATGCTGGATGCTGAGGCCATTACATCCTTGGACAGCTCACCTGTCCCCCCGACTACTGCTGAGACCCAGAGGCCAAGCATTCAATGTGATTTATCACCACACACTATTATTTTATAAACCTACATCTCTCTCAGTAACAGCCAAGCGAATAAAAGATGAGCCGTGAGGCCCAGCATCAAGCTGCATGCCTGCCCAGCAAGTATACGCAACAAAGCAGGCAGTGTATCTGGGCCCAAGCCCACCTAAGCTACACTTATGTCAAGACCTGCCTGGCTCCTGGAGGTTGTCACACTGGGACCCCTGCACTGGTCACCACCCACACCAGCCACGTGGTGGACTCCATTTGACCAACTTACCAAGAGCCCCTGGGGACCAAAGAATGGTGACTGCCACTTGGTTGTGGCAAGCGTACTGACTGATGGTGATGTTCTGGGCATCAGCAATCACATGCTTCCCCACTGGATTCAAGTAAGTGGTGCAGTCTAGAGAGTTGGGAGAACAAAGAACAGTTAGATTAAGACATTTATTTTTTGAGGTCCACGTTCATCTTCTCAAATTACACAGAGCCGTCTGGAGGCGGCCAAATCCGTTCTGTTTAAAGACGTGTGCTGCATAAGCCCAAATAGGACATCAAAGATTGAATGTTGGGGAAACTGTAAGATGCTGCAGTGGGGCTTATTTATAGCACCAACACCACTGCCCACCCTTCGAGTTCAATTCTAGGACAGCATGAGGAGGATCATATATAGTGCGGCCGTATATGTTTATACATACACAGTTGGACTATGTATCTGGCATCGACTTCTTTACTATTATGATACTTTACCCAAATCAGTAATTATTTACACCGATTCAATTGTTTTTCAGCATTAGAGAGTGATCTGAAACAAAACAAATGGCTAAATAGTCTGGGGCTTGCTTTTAGAAGAAACCTGTAGGCAAGGTGAGCAGGGCAAGGAAGCAGGATGAGGCTGGGACTCACCAGGGAGCGGCTCACAGTAAGCCTGTTAAAAAATCCAATTAGTACCTACAAAAGAGACTCGCTGACTTCATGATGAGCAAAGTACCTTCAACATTAATAGCATCTCAAAGGTAAAACTTCTGTTCCCGAACACCATGTGTTAGGCAAAGGCACCCACAATGCCCATCAATTTCAAAGAGCTCCATGTTGCTCAAAAAATGAAAACCAATTCTCTGATGCTGTCTAAGGACATTACGTACAGCCAGGTGTCAAGGCCACTACAACCATGTGAGCAGCTGTGACACCTGGTATTGCTAAAGAAACCTTCAAAGTCTACAGGATCCTAAAAAACTGCTGGAAGCTTCCAGCCAGACTCGGAATGGGACTCCAGAGAATGGCCGTGGGCTGTTCTGGCCACTTATGCAGGGAGAACCACCAGCCATCCCTGGCAAATGCCAACTCATGATTCTTACACTGCTTCATCTCCATTTCCTTCTCAATGATTAAAATGGAAAACTCTTGCTGGTATCTGCTGCAAAAAGTCCTCAGTTCCATCAAATGTCCAAACCGACTCATGATGCCTCCCAAATCAGGGTGTTTTACTCTGAGGTGAAGCAGTCAGGGGGATTTTCTAGGTTCAGTGAATCTGCTGCACTCCCCCTGCCCCTGCTGTACATCACACCACACACTTCCCATTTGTTTTTAAGATTTTATTTATTTGAGAGAGTGTGAAAGAGAGCACAAAGGGTGGGGGTGGGGGCGGGGGCAGAGGGAGAAGCAGATTCTCCATTGAGCAGAGTCCAACATAGGACTTGATCCCAGGACCCGAGATCATGACCTGAGCTGAAGGCAGGCACTCAACTGACTGAGCCACCCCGGCGCCCCCACATTTCCCACTTTTAGGACTAAAAACGTTCCCTCGGTATTTGAAAATTACAAAAGAACATAAGAAAAATGTAGAAGTCATCCATGCCCTCCCACCACACAGGTAACTACTATCAACTTCTAAAAAACATCTTTCCAAGCCTTTTAATGGGCACATAATATTCCTCCTTTTTAAATTTCTTACTAAAGTTCAACACACATGCACTACAATGCACCCCCTCCCACTTTGGTAACTCCCAGCTCCCACACTGCCTTGGGCCCTGCTTTCTTGCCTAACTGCTCTAGGTGGACCCCATTCCATAAACTCCATCTGCTTAAAAAGCAGCCACCTCTACATTTCAATATTACTTCTTTTGAAAAGATGTTAGTGGGGCGCCTGGGTGGCTTAGTCGTTAAGCGTCTGCTTTCGGCTCAGGTCGTGATCCCGGGGTCCTGGGATCGAGCCCCACGTCAGGCTCCCTGCTCAGCAGGGAGTCTGCTTCTCCCTCTCCCACTCCCCCTGCTTGTGTTCCTGCTCTCTCTCTGTCAAATAAATAAATAAAATCTTTATAAAAAAAAAGAAAAGATGTTAGTAATTAATAAAACCAAATTCTACATCTAATGAAAACTGACTATCGAAACATTTAACATGTGTTCTCTGGGTGCAGAAGAAAAATTTTTCTTTAAATATCTGGTTTAACACCCACATTGTACAAATGAGGAAATGTTTTGCAGCTAAGAGACCAGCTGGGTGGCTTCGGATTCCACTGCTGACCAGCCCCAGGTCAGGACAGAAAGCAGCCTCGGATGGCTCATGCATGGCTCTTGCCATTCTATCCTCAGCACAGAGATTATTACCATAGTAAGTTCGGAATCAGAGGTAGTCAGCCTGCAAAAAATCCTAACTGAAACTAGCTTCCCAATATTTAGAGAAAAAAAAAAAAAAGACAAGATCCCATACTTGTCAAGTTCAAGCTTTTTTTTTTTTTTTTAGATTTTATTTATTTATTTGAGAGAGGGAGCATGAGCAAGGGAGGGGCAGAGGGAGAGGGAGAAGCCGACTCCCCACTAAGCAGGGAGCCTGACGTGGGGCTCAATCCCAGAACCCTGAGATCATGACCTAAGCCAAAGTCAGACCCTTAACTGACTGAGCCACCCAGGTGCCCCAAGTTCAAACATTTACATTTATTGAAACCTCTGACTTAAACAGCTTTTAGGAAAAGATGCACGAATAAGAGCAAATCATGTTTTTTTTCCTTTGTTCATTCCTAATGCCAAAATTAGCACTCTCCAGGTTTCTGTAAATATAATTATGCAAATATAAAGTCTAAGAATTAAGAAAATGTATTACAACCTACTCAGGCATTACCCCCTCAGAGCCTGAAGAAAAAACGAGAAATGCAACGTGAAAGGAGACATGGAGACCTATGAAATTCACTTTTGACTTAATGGCAAGACATTTTCTTTCTTTGTAACCTAAAATGGCAAAGGAGTAGAAAAATAAGATTTTGTAGTTTTGTGCTTTTGGTGAAAACTTGGTAATTTTTTCTTAGCTATTTCAAACAGAACTGGTAACCAGTCAACAGAGCAATAACAGAAACTTCCTTGTGGAAGAGAGAAAGAAATATCTTTTCAATGGAAAACAATGAATAAATTTTTTACACAAACCTGGATCCAATTATTAGGAACTCTAACATTTTGGATTCTGGTTACCAAAAAATTATGCCCAAATGACATTCTGCCAAAATGCAACCGAGCTTCAGATGTCTCGGGAGTCAATTCGAGTTGAGAATTAAATTCTAATTAAATGCTGAAGAATAAGAAAGAAAATAATGACTAAGAGACAGGCATCAAGCACGTGGGCCAAATATTTAGTCCCATGAAGAAAACAGTAAGATACTTGTAAGTTTTACAGGTACAGATCCTCTTTCACAAAACCCCATATTAAATTAGAGCTGCAAATACTTGTTTGCAGCTGACCAGAAAATTTTGAACTCTTGAATGTAATACAAGATCTGCCAGGACCAAGAGCATATATTAGAAATTAACTTTGTAGCTCAAAGAGAGATCTCTAACACATGTCTTTACTTAGCTGAATTAAGTATCATGGACTTGCAAATCTTTCATTAGCTTTGTAACATTTATCCAGAGAGCATGCACACACCACTAACATGAAATATGTTTCAAATATAAGTCCTCATTGGTTAACTTAAAGTACTCACGTCAGCAACTGTGGGCATAAATTTGACACACATATTTGTATCTTAAAATTATTAGATTGTATACACGACCTCAAAAATCTTGCTTTAGCAGTGATCATTTCAGAGGCCTCACTGTGACCCACACCCATTACTTACATGGATTCATAATCCTAAGAGATGAATCAAATGTCAGGAATTACTGAACAGGTGTCAAGCTCCCTCTTGTTAACATTTTTACATATAAATTATGGCTCATAAGGCTAAAATGCTCACAATTCTATATAATTACCTTCTTAGCATGAAAGCAGCTGCTGAGGGGGAGTTCTATATGCTTAATCAGAAAAAAAGCACCCCACCCTGCCCTTAGGAAACGACTCAGCCAGATAAAGCCACACTTCCTTGAGAGAAAGGGCCAAAAAGATGCTGTATTCCAATTCCGGTTGGAATGACTTCTAGTATTGGCAGATACCAATTACTGAGTGCACATCACAGGCCAACTAAGTTGAGCAGTTAAAAGCATTACCTCATTAAAGCCTCGACATGATGCTCAGGAAGAAACTAATCTTTACTTTACAGGCCTTGCAAGCTGAGGCTTAGGGAAGTCAAGTGGCCTGCCATAGCTCACAGCTGACAGGTAGGGCACAGGAGTTGGAACCCAGGCCTATGGAGATGGCCAACTGGAGACCCCTGGGCCAATTTGGGACACACATTCACTTGGCCCACTCTGTGCTTGTGAACGTGTTTAAATAGATGCCAATATTAAAAAATGTTCAAACAAACAAACAAAAAATGCCAATGTCTCTTTCTTCTTGCAAATCACATCTGGCTACCCTCAGGGCCAAGGCCACAAGGAGTTGGAATGGAGAAGCCAGACCTGGGCTGTCCAGTTTGCCACAGTCCCTACCGTTCCCTAGCATCCTTGCGCTTGAGTAGCTTCACTCATTGGTCTGAGGCTGAGCCCCTACAGGCATCTGCCTTTGTTCTTAAGGACATGGTTATATCTTGAAGACATCAGGGGAGGTGGAGGTCTCCATACACAACTTCTCCCAACACTGTGGAGGACACTTGACCTATTCAAGCTCCCAAATACTTGAGTAGCTTAATTGAGACTGGGCCATGTTAGTTCTATTGATAAACCTGAGCAGGTTGAGAAAATTCCTCAACCCCAGGACCTGCAGTGTCCTTGATTAAGCATGACTATGTAAGCTGTAGATCACTGAAAGGGCTCCATTCTTCGGCAGTGAAGCCAGTTACTTACTGTCATATCTGAAGGTGATGTTGTGTAGCCCGCTGTTTCTGCTGGCCGGCCCTACTCCCTGCGGGAAAACAAAGAGAACACGATGAGGAGAGAAGCCAATGTGCTTTTCCAGCACATATCCCCATAGAGTCAAAATGCACACAAGACTGCGAAGACCCAGGGTCATGCCAGATGCTGAGCGATATCTACCACTCTTCCCACCCACCCTTGCCCCTTCTCCCCCACTGGCTGCCAACCTCCCTCCAGCCTAGGAGATTCCTAACTGCCAGGCCAGGAGCATCATGAGCACTCACTTCCCCCAAGACAATAGGAGCACGCTGTTCTGTGTTTGGGGGTTAAATAATAATTCATTAACAGTAAAATTGGGAGAGAGACCATGAGCTGCCAGCTGGAGCCCTTCCAGCTGGATCCGCTTTGAGCACTGATTGGTTATAAAATTTGCCTACCAGACACTCTCGTCCAAAAGCTCTATTAAGCCACGACAGATAGGCCATTCCTCAAGTCTAAGGAAACAGGTTTCTCATTCCAAGACCGGGAATGATTGTGGGAATAAGCCATTACTTTTAATGAGAAAATTCTTCACTGCATCCATACCTATGCTTGGAATATATAGGGTGGGTCATAAAAGAAAAAGAAAAAAGACTTTAAAGGCCTAACTCTAACTTTTGGTGATGTGGCCGTTAGCCATCTGCACTCTTAATAGCAGGGATAACAACTCCGCCAGACTCCCCACTTTAATTACAGCATCCACAGAGGGAGCACCGGAATCCTCCCATTGCCCCGCCTTTTCCTAACCCACCACTTATCCATCATGGGAAAGAGCAGCTACAGATCTGCTGACTCTGGTTTAACTGTTTCTGTAATAATCGGCAAATGTGCCATTCAGCATTAATTGCAGAATTCTCCAAAACAGTTAATTCCGAAATGCTAAATGATGGGAAAATATTCTAACCACACAACTAAAGTTTCCACTCAACCAAGGGGATGCTGGGGGAAGACCATCTGCTGGCAGCCCAGTATTTAATGGGCAATTGTCACACTGAGACACAATGTGCAGAACCCTTCTGATGGAGCCCAGGGTCTCAGGCCACAACCCCATCACATCCATATGCTGGAGGCATGTTCACGCTGCTTATCTGAAGCCAGCTATGCCCAGTGAAACTCTATCCCTGAGCTCGGATAAACATGGACCTCAGGAAAGCACAGCTGTGCAGAAAGGGATGCACACAAGCACGCACGCACACACACACACCACAATTCTAATTCAAGTGAGAAATAAGCACAGGAAATCTAAATCAACGTGGTACATTAGCCCATGATCTACTGGGGCTCCCCTTCTTCCTGATGGACCTTCCTTCTCCAGCTTTCCTGCTTCCATCCTCCCTTTCCCACATACACAGGATTCTGGATTTCCTCCCCTGAGCTGAAACACTTTGGAAAGGGTGGTTTTCTTATGGAAATCCTAAATGCCTCCATGATTCCTTAGGGAAAATCCTCTAGCATACCACTAGAGGAGGTCCAACTTCCAGATGGCCAAGAGCGGGGTGCCGTGACCAAGCAGGAGACAATGCCATCCCTCCAAAACCCCTAGGAAATGCCCAAAACACCCAAACCACATCCTTCTCCTCCCTTACAAAGCCCCAGGATAGAAAATCACTCACCATCTATTATGAGTCAGACATTATGCTAGGTACAGTGGTGAACACAACAGCCACTGTCCCTGTCCTCAAGAGCAAAGTAACTCATTCCTTCAAAGGAGACTAATGCGGTATGTGGATCACATGTAATGTACATAGGCGAATTTCAAATCACACCCTGACCCTCCAAGAACACTTAGTGTGACATAAAGGTGTATGTAGCTCGGCTGAAGAGCCAGCCATAAGTAAGCACCCAGCCTACAGGTACCACAGGCAGCACCTCACAAGGGATGATTCCAGGGTGAGGACAGCACACCCCCGGAAACTTGAAAGAAGGAAGGATAACTGGACTAGAAGGGAGAGGAAAAGGGAGCATCATGGGAGGGAAACAAAAATGCAAGGGGGCCAAGATAAGTACCTTAATCCTTCCATTCTCAGGCTGGTGACCATGGGCATGGTCACTTCACTCCACCTGGTCCAAGCCTCCTCAACTATCTTCCTAAAAAGATAATTTGCATGACTTTCCCCTGGGAAGGGGTTTGAGGAGGACCACGTGAAGCCCTGTAGAGGAAGCGCTTTTCAAAAAGGAAATGCATTTAATAGCATGCTCTCCAGCATGTAGGACTCTAATGACCAGTCACCTTCCTTGCAGGACTGTCAGCTTTTCACTTTGTTCTTGTTCTCCCCATATTTCTAATGCAGCATGTTTTTCTTTTAAAGATTTTTATTTTTAAGTAATCTCTACACCTAATGTGGGGCTCGAACTTACAACCCCAAGATCAAGAGTCACAGGCTCTACAGACTGAGCCAGCCGGGCACCCCTATAGCAGCATGTTTTTAACAGGTACTTATTGGGCGCTTGCAATGAGCAATGTATTGTGGAAAGAAGCCCAACATCGTGAGATGTGCTCTATCCTGCAGACAAGAACTTAAAGCCCTCCAAATAAGGTCTGTGCTGCATGCAGAGCTGTTCAGAAGGGGGCCCAGTGAGCTGGCCTCAAAGGACAGTGAGGCTTGCATACAGCATTGATTCACTACCCACAGAGCATTCCACCTGCACCCAGGCCCTGCAGGGCTGGGCACTTGGCCTTGAACCAGACCTGGGTCCTAATCTTAAGGGACTTTGGCCACCAAAGTGATCTCCTAATGTGTAAATCTGCCCTCACTCTTCTGTTCCGAGCCCATCACCAGCTCCCTGTCCCTTGTAGAACATTCCGGATGTGGTTCCTGCCTCTCTTCTCAGCCACTTCCCTCCCTACCTGCCAGACTCCTCCAGGCACTGCATTATGGCTCAGCGCATGTTCTGGAGCACTTCCATATCCCAGAATGCCCTTCCCATCGGCCAGGTCCTGTTCCCTTCATAGGCTTTCTGCCTTAGTGTAGCTCCGTCACACTGTGTCCCTGACACATAGATCCACCTGCATACTCACTTGATGGGGGTATGATAATCCATCCCCACAACTTGACCGGCATGGCACTTCTGCCAATGTACATGCAAAATGGTACTTCTAATTCCACAGAAAATCAGAGACTAAAAGACCCTGTGACCAAGCCTGGTCCTTGAGCTCAGAGGGAACAGAGCACAGAGCTTAGTTCCATGACAAGGACTTGCTCCCGTGTGCACTGGAATACCTTTCACTCTTGGAAGTCGTCCAGGGCCCGGTTTCTCAGCACATGCATCAGACAGTTGCTCCACCAGGCTGTCCTCAGTTCACACCCAAATAATGCACCTGCTGCTCCCGAGCCCTCGGAAACCCTATCAGAAATGGTGTGCCCACGCTAGCCCACAAAGCACTACTGTTTTCTTTAAACTTTGTGGTAGACAGAATAATACCCCCCCCAAAAAAAACATGTCCACATCACAAGCCCCAGAACCTGTGTTCCTTTACACAGACAGCAAAAAGTACTACATAGATGTGATTAAGTTTAAGGAACTTGAGATGGGGAAATTATTCTGGATTATCCTGATAAGCCAAATGTAATCACAAGCATCCTTCTAAGTGGGATTCAGGAAGGTCAGAGAAGGAGAAACGACCACAGAAGTAGAAGGCAGAGAGACCAACACCGATTTAAAGATGCTACACTACTGGATTTGAAGATGGAGATAGAAGGGGCTAATAAGCCAAGGAATGTAAGCGGTCTCTAGATGCTGGAAAAGGCGGAAAATCAGTTCTCCCCTAGAGCCTCCAGAAGGACCCAGCCCTGCCAACATCTTGAGTTTAGCCCCACAGACTCATTTCGAAATTCTGACTTCAACAACTATAAGATAATGAATTTGTGCTGTTTTAAATCACTAAATTGTGATAATTTGTTATAGCAGCAACTGAAAGCTAATACATACATATACTTTTAGCAGCAGTATGGTTGAAATGGATCTCAATGTCACACTCGCCCATGTGCTGTCATTTTTCCCTCCCCACACCCAGGGCAGACTGACTGATCCCTTGTCACTGCACTCTATCCCACCCTGGCTGCAGGCAGACATGGGACACTGACCCAACAGAGCCAGCTGCTTCAGATTGTGCCATCCTAGATATAGGCTTCTGTGGGCTAGCCTTGGACATATCTGGAGTAGAAGAGTGGTTAACAGAATGGGCTGTAGAGCTGTACAGATGTGTGTTCAAATCTCCCCCTCTCAAGCTGTGTGACCTGAGACAAGCTTCTAAACTTTCCTGAGCCTCATTTCCCTGAGCTCTATAAAGTGTTTGAATAAAACTTCCTGGAAAAGCTCGGCATGGGACTGTGTGAGATGACACGTACCAAGCGCTCTGCACAGCATGTGACACGTTGAAAGAGTGATGGCACCATTCCTGGGAAGATTCCTGCCCTAATAAGCAAGGAGAGACCTGTGCAGCATGGGGGTATGTGAAGTAGAAAGGGACATGCTCACAGGAAGGGGCATCTCCAGATATGATCGGTCTCAGCATCCAGACCTGGGGGGTCTGGCAGATGGATGGACAGTTCAGGGCAAGGTGACAAGGGCACTAACCACCAGACCACGGAATGGTCTTGGTGGGAACTGGGCAACCCAGTGATCCCCATCTCTGGTGAGTGCTCAGGTTGGATCTGATGAGGAGAGACTGAAGGCAAAATGACCAGAGCAGCACCCCTATGCCCTCATCCTCCCCCCAGCTTGTGCCACAGTCCTGGGCCTGGCCCATAGTCAGCCTTTGGTAAATATTAGTTTTCTGCCTGAGTAAATGAACTCATGATGAAACCAGGTAATGCACACCAAGAACCCAAGAGGACCTAGCTTCATGTGACAGGGTGATTTATGGGCTTGGAATCAGGACTCACACTAAGAGAACATGTGTAAGCGACTTACAAAGCTGGTCAATGGCTTTGGAAGCTGTTTTTCAGTAAACAATTCTAAGCTTTTAGCTACTATACCCATTTTGATATTTAATGAGCTTACAATTAA